ATTGTAGAGTTGTAGGAATTTGTCCATCTCCTCTAGATTGTTGAACTTGTTTCCATATAACTCTTCATAGTAGTTACTGATTATTGTTTTGATTTCTGCTGTGTCCGTTGTGATTTCTCCTCTTTCATTTCTGATCCTGTTTATTTGTGCTTTCTCCCTTTTTTCCTTTGTGAGCCTGGCTAGGGGTTTGTCTATTTTATTTATTTTTTCAAAGAACCAGCTCTTGGTTTCATTGATCTTTTGGATTGTTTTTTTAGTTTCAATTTCATTTATTTCTGCTTTGGTTTTTATTATTTCTTTTCTTCTACTGGTTTTGGGGTTTTTTTGTTGTTCTTTTTCTAGATCTTTGAGCTTCGAGATTAGGTTGTTTCTTTGAGTTCTTTCTTGTTTCTTGATGTGAGCTTCTATTGCTATATATTTTCCTCTTATTACTACTTTTTCTGCATCCCATACATTTAGGATATTGGTGTCCTCCTTGTCATTCAATTCAAAGAATTTTTTAATTTCTTCTTTGATCTCCTCATTAGTCCAGTGGTCTTCCAGTAGTGTGGTTTTTAATCTCCATGAAGTAGGAAAGTTCCTTGCCTTCCTTTTATGGTTTATTTCTAGTTTGATGCCTTCATGGTCAGAAAAGATGGTTGGTATGATTTCAATCTTGGTGTATCTGTTGATGTTTGTATTGTGCCCCAGTATGTGATCGATCCTGGAGAATGATCCGTGTGCACTTGAGAAAAATATGTACTCCATTTTTTTTGGGTTTAGTGTTCTATAGATGTCTGTTAAGCCCAAATGCTCTAGGTCCTTATTTAGAGCTTTATTTTCTTTACTTATTTTTTGTCTTGTTGATCTATCCATTGTTGATAGTGGTGTGTTGAAGTCTCCCACTACGTATGTGTTTTCTCTGATGTCTGTTTTCAGAGAGGACAACAGTTGTCTGATATATTTTGGTGCTCCTTCGTTTGGTGAGTATATGTTAATGAGTGTTATTTCTTCTTGAAATATTGTCCCCTTGATCATAAGGTAATGACCATTGGGGTCTCTTTTTATTTTTTTGAGTTTGAAGTCTGTTTTATCTGATATAAGTATAGCTGTTCCTGCTTTCTTTTTTGGTCCATTTGCTTGTAGGATTGTTTTCCATCCTTTAACTTTGAGCCTATTTTTATCTTTTGTAGCTAAATATGTTTCCTGGAGACAGCAAAAGGTTGGGTTTTTTTTTCTTAATCCAGGCTGCAACTCTGTGTCTTTTTATTGAAGAGTTTAGTCCATTTACATTTAGAGTTAATATTGATATGTTAGCATCTGTATTTGCCATTGTGTTTGTCTTTCCTTTGATTTTATTTATTTATTCTTTTAATAACTTATTTTTTTGTTTGGCCTTCTTTCGTTGTTATTCGTCCCTCTGAGGTTCTGGCTTTAGGATTCCTTGTAGTATTTTTTGGAGTGGGGGTTTAGTCGTAATGAAATTCCAGAGTTTCTGTTTGTCTGGGAAGGTCCTTATTCTTTCTTCATGGAGGAAGGAGAGCTTTGCGGGATAGAGTATTCTTGGTTGGCATCTGTTTTCTTGGAGTCTGTTGACTATGTCCCTCCACTCTCTCCTTGCCCGTAGTGTTTCTTCCGAGAAGTCCGATGTCAGCCTGATTGGTTTCCCTTTGAATGTTATCTGTTTCTTCCCTCTTGTTAGCTTCATTATTTTGTCCTTGTCCTGGATTCTTGGGAGCTTTACTATTATGTGTCTTGCTGTACTTTTCCTTTCGTCGTGGAAGTTTGGTGTTCTTCTTGCTTCTTGTATATCAATTTTCAGCTCCTTCTTCACATTTGAGAAGTTCTCTTCAATTATCTCCTGGAATATTTTCTCTGTTCCTACATCTCTCTCCTCTCCTTCTGGAATTCCTATAACTCTTATATTTCCTTTCGTCATGGAGTCAGATAGTTCCCGAAGTCTTTCTTCATTCTTTTTCCTTCGTACTTCTCTTTCCTTTTCTGTTTTGGTTCTTTTTATTTCTGGGTCTTCAAGAGTACTTATTCGTTCTTCCATTTCATCTATTCTGCTTTCATTGCTTTTCCCAGACTTCTTTAGTTCCTCCATTAATTCTTTGATCTCCTGCGTTTCTTTTGCTTCCCTCTTTACAGACTCAATTTCATTCTTCTGATCGTTGATTATTTTTCGCATATCATTGTTTTCCTTTATGACTTCTGTCAGTTTTTTAATCACAGCAATTTTAAATTCTCTTTCTGGAAGTCTCAGAAGTTCTTCCAAGTTACTGTCGTTGTAATCTGGAGGGTGGTTTTCTTTTGTGGTGTGCTTTTTCTCTGGAGATTTGCTAGGTTGCGTGTGGTTCTTCTACTCCCTACTGTCTGTTTTCTAATTTGTTGTATGCATTGGGACACTGTGTTGCTCGGACTGGCCAGCATCTTGGGTGAACTTCTGCGCTTCCCTCTGGCTCCTCCAGGAACCATCTCTGGCTTCTGAGGGAGCTTTCTGCTGGTTTCAGGCAGTCTTTACTGGAGAAATGTCCGTGTTCTAAAATGGCGACCCGGGAATCAGTCCCTGCGCTTCCGGTCTCAGGCACACTCTTCTGCGCGCCTGGTCTGCCCCAGCCGTGGGTGCCTGTTCCCTCTGTGGGCTCAGACTGCTGGTCGGAAGGGGCCTGGCGTGGGCTAACTTCCCAGCTGGCCACTGTCTCCTCCGGGAAACTTCTGCCCTTTTCAAGCAGTCTTAAGAAATTTCCCTGTTCTATGGGGTGTTAGTGACTTTTTTTTTCTGGTCGCTAGGTGGCACCAGAGATCTCTCCTATTGGCCTTGGGGGGGGGGCTGTTTTTCGCCTCCTCCCACCCCGTGGGACAGGGAACAGAGCGGGTATGGTAGGGTAAACCTCAACGGCTTTGGGGTGCTGTGTCTGCCTTGTGCCCCACCATCGTGGAGAACCCATGCCCCAAATTTCGTGCCCCGGGTCTCAGTTCCAAAGCCCTCAGGTCCAGGACGTGGGCTGTAGCCCAGTTCAGTGGCGCGGGAATGGCGCCTTTTGCACCCGCTCCCATGCCTGGGCGCCTGGTTCCTGCTTACTCAGTGAGGGACTTTCACCTCAGTGAGGGCCTCCGCGGGTCTCCCCGCAAGCCTAGGTCGCAGGCGTGGGGACCTGGGCAGCTGCGGTCTCGATCCACGTTTGCTTTTCAAGCGCTCCAGGTGTGCTGCTTTTCCACGCAAGCTTACCGGCAGCCCGGGCTGTGTGCGCGTCTCCAGAGTCTCTTTGTTCTTCTCTAATGGCGCCCGGAGCCGTTCGCTCACCGCCATGGCGAATCCTGCAGGGTTCTCCAGAGCTCCTGTTCCCGGGGTGTGGTGGCTGCAATAGTTTCTTTCCACTGACAGTCCCGCTTGCTGTGTAGTTTGTTCTTGTTGGTCGTTTTAGTTTGTTGTTTTCCTCCTCTCTGCCGGTCGGAGGACTCTGTGGGCGGGGGAGGGGAGCAGGGTTCTGCGCTTTCCTCCCTTCTGGTCCTCTTTTATGGCCACTTTCTTCTTCGGGTAGTTTGCTGGAGTCACCCGTTTATCTTCCGTGTCCCAGTTCTCACTGGGACCTGCCGCTTTTCCTCCCTATTAACTTTTTTTAATGGGAGATCTTACTCGCAGCATCTCCTCGCCGCCATGTTGCTCCGCCCTCTCTATGCTTTTCTTTATGTTATGTATTTGTTGGTGACTAAAACAGCTGTGCTTTGTGGAATTTGAGTTTTCTCATTATTGGGTCTCTGTTAGGAAATTTAGAATAACAGTAGTAAAGATCATCAATACTTGATCTGATTGGTGCTGTGATGTAAAATTTACTTAATATAATCTATCGAACTTTTAGTTTCGTTTAATGAGTGTTATTTTTTTTTTTTGGGGGGGGGGTGGATTTCTCACTGGGATTCCCATGCTTTTTTTAGCTCTTTTTATGACTTAAGTAACCGTATTTGATTTTTCTTTTTAAAAGGAAATAAAGGCCATGAAAGCCCTCATGTTGTTTATTTAGTCATTTGAATGACTGTTTAAAATTCCTGGTGATGGAGGAGGCTTGATTTGTAAGTCATTTGGAATGTTCCAGTCCATTTTGAAGCATAAGATCTATCCCCTTTTCCCCCATGTTTGGTGGATGTAGTAGGCTGCATGTGTTTGACTATATATACATATTACTGCACATCAGAGGTCACATAAAAGCTAAATTCTGAACCCTAAGAGAATGGCTATGTGGAACGTTAAACTGCTGAACACAGTCCTGAGAGTAAATCCCTTTCCTACTCAGAACACAGTCCCCTGCTGTCCATGTTCTTTTTCCTGTGCTAATCCTTTGATACAGCTTTCAGGGAAATACTTCTTTGCTAGACTGTGTTAGCTGAGCCCGCCTCTTCAGTTTTTTCCTCTTGTCTTCTAAAGAAGTTGGGAAATGTCTTATGGGAGGGGAGGTTGGTTCTTTTTCTTTTTTTCTTTTATTTTTTAACCTAGAGGAAGGTTTCCTGACTTTTTTTAAGTGTGTGATGGTGGATTCTCTTGTGTATTTCTTGTGTATTGTAATCTGTTTAGCAGCATGCTGGGCCATGCACACTAGGTTCCAATAGTATCCCCTATACCAGATCATAATACTAAACATATCCTCAGACATTGTCAGATGTTTCCAGGGGGAGGAGATGTAAAATAGCCCCTGTTGGGGAGCCTCCACCTTCAAGCCTCTGTAGAAACCTTTGTAGAAGGGGAATCACAATGAGCTGAGCACAGCACATATACTCCTGTGACCTGCCTAAGTCCCTTGGCCTAGCTGACACAGTTTCTTCCCCAGCAAGGTGGGGATAAAGACATCCATCTTGTAGAGGTGTTGAAATTCCAACCGCACCAGACACAGCAACTTCTAGGCATGTGGTGAGGACCTGATGCATTATAGTCAGTGCTGTTGGGTGAGTTTTAGTTCACTTTTCTGACACTGGTGATTTGGCTTTAAGAGGTCTCTCTCTCTCTCTCTCTTTCTTTGCAACAGAGCACGATGAATGTGGCAGCGGGCAGCACAACTGTGATGACAACGCCATCTGCACCAACACTGTCCAGGGACACAGCTGCACCTGCAAACCGGGCTATGTGGGGAACGGGACGCTCTGCAGAGGTAGGTCTTTGTGGTGACCTGGCAGTTGTCACCCTGCTAGAGTCCTGAAGAGGTTGTAGATGCTTGTCACCAATCTGGTGGCCCAACATGACCCATTTCTTTCAGCTGGCAGGGGCACTGTGCCTCAGAGGTGAAAAATACTTTGAGTCTGTCTTTTGGCTTGAATGAAAAGGGTGAGGGGTGGGGGATGGGGGGAGGTTGTCAGGGGTGTGGTTCCATGACTAGACGCTGTGACTGTGTAGCTTGGCCTCTTGCCTTGAGTTTTTGAGGGAAGCTCTGATTCCTGATTTTAATCCCTGAGAGTTTTTCTCAGGGAACACCTGGGCACTGCTCACAGCCTCCCTTGGGTACTTTCTTGGGCAGGAAGCTTCAAGTTTACACCATGCTCTGCATTTGAGAAGATTTCAGGGATGGAGAGGTCAGTGTTGTGGCTTCTGTCTGCATTTATAATCAAATGCAAATTCCTCCTTCTGGTCTCTGAGAGTGTTCAGAATCTGGTCCTTTCACCTCTCAGATGACATCCCCTTATCCTAGATCTTTCTTTGACCACCCTGAAAACACAGCATCCCCACTACCTCTTAGCCCTATACCCTCTTTTTTTTCTTCACTAATACAACCTGACAGAATATTCTATATCATTGTGATTCTTTTCTATATTGTCTGTTTCCCCATTACCATGGAACCTTCATGAGAGAGACCAGTTAGTCTTGCATCCCTGCTCTGTCCCCAGCAGCTAAAATGATGCCTGACACACTTTATAAATAAGCATTAGCTGAGGGACTCTACCAGGGGAGAGGGACACAGTCATGCTGGAAAACAGACAAAATGAATGTATCAGAAAACCAAGACACAGTCTTATGAGCTACATATCATCATGCATCAGTCATTTTCAAGGTGACAAAGCAGATAGAGAGGTTTAGTAACTTCCCCAAGGACACACAGTACTTACCAGGACTCCTTGGCAGAGAGGACAGGCTGGTGATTTGAGAGCAACAGCCTTCAATAACTACGTCACTCAGGATTCATGCTTCAAATCAGGAGAGGACTTGTAGGTATTGATTTTGCTTTATGTTGGTGAGATGGCTCCACACATGCCTGACAGTTAAACTGGTGAGAATTTTTGAGTGGTAATTGCACAAATCTATCAAAATTTAAAGTTAATCCAAGAATACTATAGGAATCATATTTTTAAATCAAGTTTATTGATTTCCCATTTGTTTACATAATTGGAACTTTGGGATCACAACATCACATCTGAGTGTGTACATGCTTCACTCTCCCTCCAGAAGTGCAGGGATTCTCTGGATTTCATCTCTTTTACCTCTTGAAATGTGTTACAGAAAATGAAATGCTCTTGAGAAAGAAAAGTATACATAAACTGATATGTGCACAGTATTGTTTGTATTCATTGGGCCCCAGAAATGGCTAAAATATCAATTAGGAATGGAATGTTTTAATTTAGCTTAGTTATTTCTTGGAATAGACTATTACTGAAAACTCTCAGTGTGTGTATATGTTAATGCATGTCCATGCACATATAATCTGAGTGGTCTCTGAGACATATTTTCAGAAGATACATAAGATCAAATTATAGGGAACCCTCACATATATAATTTATTATTTACAAATATCTGCACACATATTTAGGTAAAGGCTTAGAAACTGAGATCATGCACTATGCACTGTGTTACACAGAGGATTCTGTGTTTGTGTGAGACAGTGTGTGAGTGTGTGTGTGTACGTGAAAGACAAAGACTATTCACTTGTTGCTGTGAATTCAATATTGTTTGCATTTCTTAGAACAGAATTTATACCTTCAATATTTGTGTTATTTCTTGTAATATTCTGTGAAAAGAAATAAGCTGGTGCTCAGCTTTCAAAAGAAGGCTGAAGATATTTCCAAAGCAGAACAAAAAAACATAAACATTAATATAGTTCCATGGATTATCCAGCCCACTGCTGGTTCCTGCATGCTAATGCTATAAATCTGAGGAACAACATAGGGATTTGATTTTAATGCATTTTTCAGAATTATGTTATCTCATAAAATAATATTAATTGTACTAGTCCAGTGAGTTTGTGTTTTGTCAAGCCCTCTTGTGCTATTGCAATAAGTGGTGTCTTCACCTGTGTGGAATGTGAAAATCCAACTGTAAAAAAATAGATCTCAAATAATGTTCTTGGTATCCACAGACTCTGAAAATATATATTCCCTTAAAAATGATGAATTAGATAAAATCATTTTCTCAAAGTGATTTTCATGGTCACTTGTGTTGACCTCAATAGACCAGGGAGAATCCTGTGTTTTATAAATATTGCCCAGGGAGGCAATGTAGTATAGTTGATCTAGTGGACAGAGAGTTTGGGGTGTTGGGAGTTAGACCTGATTTCATTACTGGTAAGTTCTAATGTCTATGCTTTTCACAAATTAAAAGTGGGTTCATACCACCTTCTGTGTTTATCTGACAGTGTTATTGTAAAAAACTACTAAGCAAATGCATATTGATATGTTCTCAACTGTCAAATGTTATAAAAAGTGAAGAGGGTGTCATTAGTTGTACAAAGATAAAGAGGCGGAGAGTGTTCAAGAGTTGACTTGAACCTTAGGTTTTTGACTGTGGTACCCAAATAAACATGAGTCTCAGGACATACATTTTATTTATTTATTTTTAAAGATTTATTTATGCATACAAGAACTGGGGAACAGGCCAGAGGTACAGGGGATGAGAGGATTCACCAGAGAAACAGAGTGGGGAACAGAACAGGCTGATTGACAGAACTGCCCTGCTGGGGGTAGCAGTAGGTGAGGAAGGAGAGGTCTGCTGCGCCATGTGGGTAGCTCCCAGGCTGGGTATTGAACACATTCTGCAGTTGCTGTGGATAACTTCATAGTGCTGCATCTTAACCCCTTGCACCACCAGGGAGGCCCCAGGACATACATTTTATATAACAGTTTTTTCCAACTGAAACATTTACAGAGGGAATTGGACCAGGATAACCAGACAACTTGAATTAGTTATTTTATATATGAAAGCTTTTCTGGACTTGGTGGTGTTCATGGAATTGACTACACCTGGATAAAAATAAATGCTGTTAACACGTCTATTAACATGTAGAGCACAAGCCAGCAGTTTCTTAAACAATACTAATTGGTGTGAATTCATTCAGATGGACTTTCCTGGTGGCTGATGCCTGTGCAAGGAGCTTTTTCTTCATGTGGATGGAAAGTACCCATCTAACTTCAACAGTCACCAAACTGTGTGAAAAACACCTTGTTTGGCGTGTTCACATAAATTGCTTCATTTAGTTCCCACCTTAACCCTGGAATGTTGATCACATTATTCTATATCACAGATAAATCATATAGTTGAATGACTTAATCTGTTTAATACCATGACTTTTAGTTCCCCCTTCCTTCCTGTTCCTTTTTCTTCTCCTTCCCTTTTTCTTACTTTTTTTCTTCCTGGAAGGCTTTTTTTCTTTCTTTCATCATTTAACTCTCATTGTCGATTAACAAGAGGCTATAAGGAAAACAGAAAGGGAGGAGATGTTGAGGTGAAAATCTATAATTAAATTGCTCACCTTTTTGATACACAGACTAAAGTACTTTTGAAACTATTTAACATCTGTTGCTAGGTATTTGGGGTTAAACAGAGAGCACTTGCAAACTGTCTCTAATAAGATTTGCATAACTTGACATGAGGTTTGGGCATGTCTACAGAAGAGTGTTTGTCTGCTTTCCCAGACCTGCATTAACCTGAGGCCAAAAGGGCTTACAAGAAAGCTGTCAATAACTAAGCCTTTCCCTTGTCAGTCATTAGGGCTGGGTAAGATGTCCTGATCCTTGAACACATTCTTGTCTTAATGACTGATAACATTGACATCAATTTCATAAGCAGTGAGTTTGGACTCTGTGTCTGGAGCATAGTTCTGTGGCACCGAAAGAGCAGAAGACCAAGAAGAGAAGTCTGTTGCAGATTTCACTGTTTCGCATGGCTGAAAGATTTGAATAAATGTTTCCAACCCCACAGAACAATATACACAATGGTATCATCTCATGTGAAAGAGGCTTATAAAGCATTATTCAAAATATAGAACCATGTGAGAGACATATTATGTGTTAGAAATCTTTTGGTTGCAAGCATCTGACAAAAGAGCTGACATTAGTTATGCAATTTGCACAATAAAGTAAAAGTGTGGGATCCTTGTTCCAAAAGTAGGCAATAATCTACCGTTTTAAGATACTAAAGTCAACTGCTTCTATTTTTCTTCTGTGGTCTCTTTCTTAATCTTTCGTGGTATTTTTCATTTGATACTTAATGTTGCTCCCTTGCCTCTGGGAACACTATTAGGATAGTGTAGACCTTCTGTGGATCAGAAGGTCGAGTTGCTATACTGCTACTTGCCACATGTGTGATCCATGACTGCAGAGCTCCTGGATGTCCTGGCCAGCGCGCTGCCCTCTGATCTGGGGCAGGGGAGTTGAACAAAGTCTTTCCCTTTCCCTCAGGCCTCTGCCCCAATCCATAGCAGATGTACAGCCCAAGGGGATTGCAGTCTCCTCACTGGTTGTCTAGATAATCTGAACTACAGTACCTGGTTCAATTAGCACAGAGTGGGGATGGTGCCAGTGGGCTCCACCTTAGGGTATCCAGAGCCTCCCTGTGGGCAATTCAAACCCTCCCTATGTCTGTGCCAAGGGCTCTTCAGGGGCCACAGGACTGCAGTGGTCTATGGGTGGGGACTGTGAGGAATGTGACACAGGGAACAGAGTATTGAGAAACCATCCTGGTGAGGTGGAGAGGCCATTGGAAGTGGCTCCAGTGTCCCCAGCACATGTCCCTTGTTCCACTGAACCTCACAATGCAGGTTCAAATATGAAATTACTAAGTTCAAGGTGATGACCACAGAGCATTAACTGCTAAGTGTAGGGGCCTTCTGACTGGGGGCAGCCTGGACAGCTGCACTGGTTGTGTGCTTGTAAAGTTGGGCAAGTCTCC